TTGTTAACCAAACATCTCTGCAACTCCAGACAAAAGAACGGTGACATCATTAATATTTATTACGTAATCCTCGACAGTTTTAAAACAGATTTGAATAATTCGATTTGAACTCATCACGGAACAATTTTGGTATTAGCTAGTGAAAGCGCTTTGTATGTGCTTGGAAAATAAAACGAACATAAAAAAATAAAATAAAAGCTATAAAATAACGATGAATAAATTAATATCGTAAATAACTAAAGTACACAATTTTATGCAAATTGCGTGTGCGCGTATGAACAATCCAATAAGTGTAAAAAATATATATTTATATTATATTCTATATATCAGACAGTTTATGGGAAAAAAATATTTTACATATAAATAGATATTTCAAAAGTTAGAATGATGTCTGTGACTGAATTTACATGTACACAAAAGTCATGTTTCTCAAAAACTCAAAATAAAAAGTATAATGTAGTAATGTCACATTCGTAAGTTGCAGATGGCGGGTACGACATATATGTCATGTACGTGGATTATTTACATAAATAAATATTTTTTTTAAAATAAAAATTCTAATTTACGTCCATAGATATTTTTGTCTATCATTATATATTAATATTATACCTATAAAGTACATTATCGCAAATACTGCAATTGTTTACATCTTATAATATGAGGAAGTTAGCAGTGGTTGCAGGTATGTGCATCCCAAACTTACTCTCCCAGTGTTGTGTTAGCTCTTAAAAAAAAAACCAATATATTATTTTATTTCACGTCTGCAGTGAGCACGTTCATTGTACGAATGTATTTTTTCAGCAAAATATATACCACCCAAGCACCTATAATTTATATATTGTATACTATCGCATCTAAGTATTGTACAGCCTGTATATACACACACATATCTGTATAAATAGTATGTATATTAAAAATATATATTTATACAAAACGACATGCTATATCTACAGGTTCATGTCGTAGACGTTTTTTTTTATTTACAGTACACAAAATCGTGAATCTTTTGAATAAAATATAATGTATAAAATTCACCTCAGTCCGTAAAATGTACCTATATTTATAAGCGATTTTGAATTTATTTTCATAATAATTGAATATTTTGTAATATAATTTTTATTTTCGAGTCATTTTTTTTATAGCACTTTAAATAAAACCGATCCCAAGAATATTCGCTTCCTTCAGAAAATATGAAATTGAACGATTGTAAAATTATATATACCTAAATCCATAATATTTAAAAAAAAAAAACTTCTTAAGTATTTTTATTTGCCAGTACTTTTGATAAAATTACACCTAAAAATGATCTCGTATTTTAGAGCATATGAAATTGAATGATCTTAAATATCTGTATAAATACATAATTAAATATAATTTTTTTTTAAATTCATCCATTTTCACAAAATACTAATACTTGATACAATTGTATAGGTAGTTAAATAATAATTTGCTCAACTTATTTTCTGTTTCGTGTTAATATTAAAACGAGTATTATTATTACGAATTATTGTTTTTTCTCAATTGACTGATGAATAAACAAAAATTTTTTTAAATAATATAATCTTGATCCATATTCAACAATTTCTTAGGTAATAAATTAAATTGTACAATTAATTGTTCGGCCATTTTTTTTTTTACAACTATTAATAAATTGTATTATTTTAAAGGATTACTGATATAAGATGTGAAAATAATAAAATAAATAATAACAGCCAACAGACATCATACAAGGTAATATGCTAAGAAAATAAAGTAAATGAATAATAAATGTAGCTATTTAAAATTATTTTTGAAATAAATATTAAAATACAATTTGCTATATTCAATACAAATTAGTAAAATTTGAATTGATGAAACGAATGCAAAATTATTTATCTATACAATAATAATCAATGCATTATACTAATATTTAATCTCTTAAATAATTTTAAATTTATGAAAACTTGCAGAGTTCACGACTTGCAATATTATGTTAAAAATATAAAATGTCAACTAGACCAAACAATTTTAGTTAATTTAAATTGTATATTACAATTAAAAACCCGAAAAATTGGTTGAAACTATAAACAATATCAACTTCTAGGTAGGTAATACTATAGACTATAGTACGTTTTTATAAGTTAGGTTCCTAAATACTAAATGTTGATGGTTGAAGAAAACTGAAAAGTCAACACGTTGAACACCATAGTCTAAACATTTAAAGTAAAATGCACAAAATTATAAATATGTATATTGTATACCAATCGTTAGTATACAGTTTTAAATAAAAAATAACACTGTATGTCACTTAGTTAGACACTTAGACGTACTCGTTATAAATGCTGAGTAAGTATCTACATCATCAAAAGAAAAAAAATGTTTGACAAATATTTTATTCGCAACTCTTATATTATGCGACAAAATATAATAAAATGATTAACAGGTTTATAATATAGTTATTTTATCCAAACAACATTGTTATAATTGTTTTACAGGAGAAGATAATAAATTTAGTCATATTTTTTTCTTTTAATCTTATTAATTTATAAAACACACATACATTGAATATCGATTATAGTAATAATAAGATAGTATAATATATTATTTAGGTAAAACCATATTATGTTTTCGCGTCACTATAGTAAAACTAAGATTGTAAGTGTAAAATGTATGTAACTGTATAATATACTATAAAACTTAATTCTACTTACTGAAATGATATTTAAACATTGAAAATGTGATGTATAATATAATAAACTTCTATGCCAGATTTCATATATTATTATTATTCATAAATAATATTCTACAATAGAGCGTATTACAATACAATAGAAATGTATCATTATTCTTTGGTATCTCTAGCCTAGTAGTTTCTATATAATTAGAAATGCGCATTTTGTAAGTATTAGTATAATAAATATTTTATAGGATGTACGTATAATAAGTAAGTAATAACAATTAACATTCATAATATCTCGTTTGGTTTTTAAGCCATAATGATCTCGAGAAATCAAAAATTAATAATAAAAATAATTCAACAAACAAACACGACTTATAGTAATAATATAATATTATCATTTAGTAGTGTAACACTACAATAAATTATTATAATATTAACACAACATATCCTTAAATTTCATCTAAACTATATTTAAAAATTGATTTTTTATTTTTCGCTACGTAATTTTAGACTAGAAACGTGTATATAATAGTGATGGTAGTGTTAAAAATTACATATTTACAATAAATAATAATAATAGTTATACATTATAACATAAAGCTGCGGGGAGGAAAGACATAATATAAAACGTAAGACATTAAGACATCTGCAAAATGTCAACACTAGTAAAAATGATTAATAAGAGATTTGATTATAATATATCAACGCAGACTATATGGGTGGATAGTAATATCGATTATACATTAGGTAAAACTGAAATTGTTATGACTACAATTTATCATTATACCTGTAAAACGTGATTTAATAAGAAAAAAAAATTGTGAATCGTTTAAACGTATTATAAGAATAACCGACTAGTGAAATATAGTGTACTTAGTTACGTCATACAAGAAGGGCGTACGTGCAAACAAGACGAAAGTATATATTAAATAATATATAATATTATATAACATTTTATATTTATTGTACAAAAACTATTTGAATTTTCCCTGCGAAGGGGAATAAAAATGTCATAACCATTTTACAACTGCGCCTGCAGTTGACAGTTTTGATCGTGTCTCGATATTTTGTACGTGTACATATACAATGATTGTTATAACTTTAAATAATTATAAATTTATTATAACTTTATGTACACTGCGATGGTAATGAAATTAAACACGTATCTAACCTACGAAGTCATTAAATCGACTTGTTATCCGGTAATAATGTTGTTCAACAACCACAAATACAAACAAAATGTTTGTGGATAAACGCCTTTTGAGTCGAATGATGGAGTTGGGTGTATAATATCCCCCAATCAACAGTAAAAATACAAACATATGGATAGTAGGTATAAACGTTTTTTAAAAATTACCTTCATTAAAGAACTTTAATCTGAAATAGATGTTTGTTGATTGTTGAATGATTTAATTCATTACAGGTATATAATGGTATGTAAAAATTCGGTGGGTTTTAATTTCATATAAAGAATATCATGTAAGAAATATTATGAGGCTTGTTAAATATGAAATACAGAAAAGTCAAATAAAAAAATGTTCATATAAAAACGGAAACGTTTCTCATAAATCTTGACGGTTCAACTTGACTTACACTAAACTAATTGTCAATTGACGATTTTCGACGAGTCTTTTTGCTGTTATTGTATATTGAAATCAGACGATCAGATTTGTTTTGAGATGTCACGATGTCTCAAACCCTCAATAGAAAGATGAATGCGCAACACGCATGTATACCCCTATATCCGATGAACTATAACGTTAGGCACTACTTTACAGGTTACAACCGACAACTAAGTGTAATTAAAACTTGTTTTCTAAACAATTACTTTGACTATGGACTATGGTTAAATTAGTAGCTACCAACGATATTGGAGTACTAGCTCGTAAATAAATTTGTTTTAAAAAACGTACATCGAAACAAAATCACATTAAAACCACCCACGAGGCGGAACTCTATAAATTCGATTTGCTCGTTTTTAACTGTATATAGACGAGTCTCACAAAAATTCTAATAAGACTGGTATAAAGTCGCTTCGATACACATTCTCGTTTGAAATAAGTTTTCAGATTTGTGTGATCGTTTTTTTTTTCAAAATATAATATATTAAAAACTCCTTTTGAGAGGTAATATTTTTGCAGTTAATAAAAATCGTTTTGGATGTCATCCACCAAAGCTATGCCCGGATCATATATATAGGGGATTTCGATTAAAAAAAAAAACTTTTGATATCGTGTGGTTTTTCATTTAAATATTTTTTTCAACGACTTATCATAATATTAATGATGCATAGGTACACATTTTTAGTTTAATTGTATTTAAAAATTATCATTTAAATGTTATCAATCATACTACCTATTTTAAATTGTTTTTATTTAAAAGGATAAATACAAAAAGTTTTGATTAAAAAGAGAATCTATTTTGTTTTTTTCAAATGAAGAATCGATTAACCGTTCTAAAGTAGTCGCAATAAAAACGAAACTCAATTTCTGTCGAAAAATCTGAAATCAACAACTTAATACTGTTGTGTGTTATAATTACGTGTATGCAATTATAACGAGTAAAACCCGCCATCCTATACGAAGTCCGAGTCATAAAATTATAGGATGGGTTATAGTGGGGGGGGGGGAATGGGCCGTAAAGAGCATGACGAAAAGCTCCGTGGAGCAGAGGGGAAGGTAAGCGTTCGGGCACACTCTGCTCTCGGAAACAAGGTGATTGACAGTATGATGAACGGGAAACCAGGCATGTGATACTTGTTGATTGGCCAAAATTAGATGTGGTCCGAGGGCCAGCTAATTGGATTTAGCCGCCCACTCAAGTGAAGCAATTGTGAGCATCCCGTCTGCGGGGGCCGGGAGAACAACAAAATCGTAGATATATTTTAATAATTAACGATATGGTGACACGTGGAGTACCTTTATAGGTAGTAGTGGTTAAACAGAGCTTACCATGTCGTCGGTTCAAAATGAAAAAAAAAACACGCAGGAAATTGGGTTACTACACTGTGCGGCATCACTACGTCAAATAATATTACAATGTTATCATAGTGTTATACAATACTATCACTAATACCATTACACACGATGGGGGCGGAGGCTGTGGTGGCGAAGGCGATCGGGGCAGGAGCGAAGACTTCGCACATGACTTAACGTCGGGCGGCAGCGGTAACGAAGGCTACAGCAGCGATCATCTGTGCCGACCGGACGACGACGGCGGAGAAGGACTCGGTGACGCTGGTGGCGCCGGAATTGGCGTCGTTGTCGGAGCCTTGGGCGTTCAGTGCGTTATCATTGTCTGCGCCGCGGTCACCGCCATTTCCGTAGTTGTCGGCGTCGTCGTCGTCATCGTCGGCCACCGAAGACGCCGAAGACACGGCGGCGAACGCGTCACCGGGCGGCGGCAGGTCGTTGCGGTACTTGTAGGCCACCGACTTGCGGGCGGAGTAGTAAAGGTCCGGCGACCGGTCAGCTTTCCAGTGACCGTTTCCGGCACCGTCGCCGGGCACGCGCAACCGGCACTCCACGTCCACGGTGTTCCGCCGACGCTGGTGCTGATGCGACTTGCTGTTCCGGTACTCCTCGGCGTCCTTGAGTGACACCACGCTGGTGGCGCTCACTGCGTACTTTTTGTACTCTTCTTCGCGGTTGCCCCTATACCGATTCCTGTACGCTTTTGGCTTGGCTGTGGTCGTCGTGGTCGTGGTCGCAGTCGATGTCGTCAACGTCGCGGTGGTCGTCTGTGCTGCGATGCCATCATTGCTCTCGTCGTTGTCCCCGTCGTCCTCAGTGACCACCGACGTCACTGAATCCAACGACCTGCTCGGAAAGAAATCAATAACACAGAATGAAAACACCATCGATCGATATAAAGTAGCTCTGTATATATTATATTATTATGTCATTATAGTTATGATATATAATATTTTATTATAATTATTCTATTCATATAAATTGACACTCTCTTTAAACAATGGTTTAGGAATCGTATTTCATAAGTATCAAGTTCAAAAGCAAACGGTTATTAAATTATAACTTTAAAACTATAATTTATAGAACTGAAATCCTCTCAACTTACAAACATGGTTCAAATATATTATAAGAATATTTGCATGGATAAAATTGTAAATTATTACAATAAGTCAAAGAACGATGGTATTTTGTCAAAAAGACGAGATTTTTATTTTCTGTTCAATTTTAATAGATCAACGACCACATTTTACAATCATCAGAAACATGCTCAAAAAAAATACATATTTTGTGATTTTATTTGACACTCATCAAAAGTACCACTGACATAATTTTTATTTCATTGGTTCATTATATTCATTCAACCTTTTAAATCGCTATCGTAGTTATTACAGTGTACCTATCGCTGTCACATCAAATAAACCGCAATCAGAGTATAAACTATGCAGCATGACAAGATCGACTTTCACCAGAAATCATTTCTACACATTTTTATAACACAATTTTGATATTATACTTGAAATTTTATACCATGGTATTATTTTCAAGTTAACGAATATCTTCAATATACGCAGCTGATGCTTTTCGAATAACCTTACATCTCTATAAAAAAAATGTTATTAGTTTTTAACGTGTTTACGATCAGGACACGTGTATTTTTCGCTCAAAGAACTACCCTCATAATTACAAAGTAGTTTAACCCACGTAATTGGTATTTTGTAATTGAATACGGTTTGTGTGTGCGAGAGAGAATGTGTGGCGTGCGCGCAGTGTGTGCCATATACCACCATGTTTATTTTGTTGCCGCCAAAGATAATAATCCGGGTAAAACGACAACAATGACTAACGAATCTACACAGCCACACAGTCTACGTAGATTGTTTTATCTACGTTCGAAGGGTGTTTAAACTATATTATATTCACTGGACTGAATATTACACGTACAAAGTATTATTTCACATAACGTCAAATAGTTAATAACGTTATTTCCTACATCAGAGATAGGTTGGATTGGATTATCCGTATACAGTCACTATTGTCTGTGCGATTGTTGATTACACAATTATTTTGCCAAACATGTTGAAATAAATTACATTTAAATTGATTCGTTTATAAAATGTATTAGTTATTTTTTGATGGTAAATAAGATATTTGGGTGGTACCGGCTATATGACTTAAGCGCCAAAGAAGTAAAAAAGAAACACCTTTCACACCATTATTAATATTTTATACATTTTAAAATATTGAAAACAATCAAGAATTCGTTACATAATAATTGTCAACATCTATATTTTTGTTCATTAAGGAAAACGCATAAAACTCCTTTATACGCAACTAGTTTTATAAAATTAACTTTCACTACTCACTACGTTATAACTTATTATAAATATTAACAAATTAGTAACAATATAATGTTATATCTAAGTTTGACACTCTATCGTAATTAGATAATACTTTTGTTGATTAAGATTATACGTGTGGTGTTTTTGAAAGATACACCTAGTTTTAAATTTAGTAACAGAAATGAAGCACACAATGTCACGTACCTGGGATTTTGGCACTTTTGCACTGTACGATTAATTTTTTTCTCATATTGTTTTGGCGCTTACGTTTGTTACTGGTAGTAGGGAAATAAGTGATAAAATAATAAACTCATTACTCTCCTGACATAACAGATGCCATAGATTTGTAATTTCCACGTATAAAATTATGAAATTGAATTTTTCATGAACACTAATAAAAGAATAGATACTATTTTGTACATATATCATAGAAATAGCATGTCATATTTCGAATGATTTTTCCTTTGCATTAACTAACAGCTTTCTATTGATAGGCTATTTTTTAAGTAACTTTTTACGGTACATCAAGACTATTCGATTTTCTACCTATATTATAGCGGGTGACTATTGTATGTATTAAATTTTACGTATGAACGTCACCGGTGTTGAAAAACTCGAAAAAAACGTGCGTAATTTCGTAGTTAAAATTGCAGAATAGAATTAAACGGTGTTTTTTTCAGATCATTTTACTGTAAACGTAGTGAGTGTGTCCAATCTGCATAATAAAATAATACCTATACAACATAAACGTATAATATAACACCATAGGTATATTATAACAATTAGATAAATATCTGCACACTATACGATTTCACTAAAACTCACAGATATAAAATGCAGAACAAATAACGTGGTTTCTGATCGCATGATGACGGCGGCGGAGTAAAGTAATTTATAAAATATACGCACTGCTACATTCTCGAGCGATCTGTTTTGCGAAAAATGGAAACCACTTAATGTCAAAGAAATCCTCGACCTCAAATATAATAATATTATAGTGCTTTTACCCGTGGGTATATTGAATTTAATTATTTCGGGTGTTTGCAGGGCGCGTCTTGTCGTCGACATCGCCGACGGGCACGCGTGGTATATTATTTTATTATAATCTCGGCGTATAAGGACATGCGGAGAGCAGAAGGGCAGAGGAGTAATTGTGGTAGTATTGGGGTTTGTGGAAGTAGGAATATAACTTTGGAGGCATATTAAAAAAAGATTATTTTTTTAGGAAACGACATAAACCAAAGTCGCAAGTACCAACCCTATAAAGTGTAAATATACAAGAAGCAATAATAGTATATCGTAGTAGATAGTTAAATAGTACAAAATACGTACACTCCATTCACCCAAATGCTCATGGACGGCTCGGGATGCATGCCGGCGGCGTAGCACGTGATGTTGATTTCGGTCGGCCACTTTTTCGGGCCAGTCTGTGGGGCATTGCTACTCATCGGCTCCGCCGGTGTCGTGAAATTCACATCGCCACCACTGCCTTCTGCGATATCATCCTCGTCGTCATCGTCGTTATCGTCGACAGATATTTTGAATATTCGTTCTGGTGCTAAAAAATAATTATAATATTTTTAAAAATAGCTAAAAATCCAACTTAAGGACATATTGTTATTTTGAACTCTGAGATTTTGTATTAATTTATCTTGATGTTACGTTCTGAAAAAAACAAGTTTCTTATTTTCCGTAAATTGTCAACTGGATAGTTTTCTTATAAATTCTAATTTATCTGAAATATATCGGATTGTGCAACTTTTATCATCGGTCATTAACTTTATTTTCCTACAAATTTGGGAATCGTGATTTTTTTTAGTAATTACAGTTAATAACCGTATGTAATGGGAAATGTTGATAACAATAACGAGCTTAATTGGATACCCGATATTTATAAATTATAATTATACTATTTGTCTGTGACTGAAAGAGTCAGGTTCCACGGTATACATGCTCGAAAACTGGGGATTCTAACTTCCACCCTGGAGTATAGTTGTGTTGCGGGGCTTAAGGGTGTCTGCGCTGTCACTGCAAGACTGATTTCAACAATAAACCTTGTGCCTGCCGCGGGGCGACAATAGTTGTGAAACAGTAAATGTCTCAGAAATACTTCTTGCAAAAACAAATAAGACGTTATAACATAATACATAATAATAATACATCGTTTTAAATTTTGATAAACACCTTCCACCATGTTTCAATTAATCTTATTTGGGATTCACGTGAGTACCTGGTGTATAACGATGATTAACTATGCATTTGATATTTTGGTCAACAGCGTTAATGACTGGGGAAAAACTCTATTTTCTTCATTTATCGTAAAATAATATCTATATCGACCTCTATGTTGTATTATACTTGTATGCAGAATAACCATTAGCCCTCATATCATATTCCAAATTTGTTATCACGGATTATTACCTTTAGTAAATAAAGATTGATAACTCGCGAAAACTGTTCATTTGAATTTAGAAACACTTCTTACATATTCTAAAAATCGTACTTATTTCAAAAAAAAATGTTATGTACCGCCGTTTCATAGTAATAAAAAAGCTAAGTAATTTAATGCGTATGATCCAGAAGTGTACTAAGGGATTACAAATATTAGATTTTGAATAAACGTATAGTTAAAGCATAGAATTCAGCGTTGATTGTGTTTGGGGGATCACCCTGTATAATATTATACTTGACGTAAAAAGTGTTATTTATATAATATTGTGAATAAAAAATTCTCTCTCGTGGCCTAAGCCCCGTGGTAAAATATTAAGTTTACAAATCCGGACGTATAAGTAGGAGTGATACACTTGTACCTATATATTATACAAATGTTACGGATATGTAGATTTCAGATATTTCCCTGAAATGCAAATATATGATTATAATATTGCATTTTTCGAATGACGATGACGGACTGTTTTAAAACGTTGTAGAACGTATAATATTATAAAATCGTATAGTTCTCCTTCATGCGTACAGTGCACGCACATCAGTTTGCTCGTGGGATATTGTTCCGTGTTTTTAAGTCATTTGTTTGCGTAATGATCTGTATATTAAAAAAAAAATCCTTATATGTGTACAATATTAATCTATGCGCTGGATTTCACCTTATACATAGGTTCGGTACATATATTATAATATTGATGAATAAACAAAATGCATATTATACGTATAATATTATTATAAGTATAAGTATTAAGTATATACAATGAAAATATATTTATTAAAATACAGTTCTTGTACAATTTCCGTGTACTCAAGGACTCAAGGTTATAAACTATCTTTTACACGCAGAATTTCGCACTTGGGTCCTACGATCTAAGATTTTCCCACTTAAGACGATCTTTAAATAACATCAATACACGCCTTTTCATATGACACGACGTATATATCTATTATACCCTGCAATACCCATATAAAGTAAATTTTGTTTACTCCGTTTATTTGTTTTTATTCGACGGTGTATAATCATTATAATTAATTGTCAGCTTAGCGATTTTAAATTGAATACATGATATCATTATTCGTAGGTGCCCATTTAAAGGTATAATAAAAATTGTTTTTTTAAAAATTAAGGATAACGAATAACGTTTCTGCTATACATATATACACGCACTATTTGCATACTTAAACCAATTATATTCGGGTATAACAATAGTATATATATATAGATACTTGAATAGCAGCATGGGTATTATAGGTATTCTGCTATCTACTAGCTGTCGCGCGTATGTGTAAACATTGGGGTCCGTTGTTTTTTTAGCATATTATATATTACACCGAAAGAAAGAGAGAAAGGAGTGTTTCTGCAACGCACCGTAACCGATAGGGTTGGTTTGTGAAAACAGTGTACGTCTTACGGTAGTCTTGTAGACGGGACGCGTACGAAAGAAAAAATGTATACAGCACAACAAAACAAGAAATAAAAAACAATCAATACGTGATCGGTGGGGATTATACTGATCGATTCATCCGCGTCGGAAACAGTAGTGTGTAATATTATGCGATACGCAGGTAACTTTATAATAAGCAAGCAATAACAGCTGCGTGTCTAGAAAGTTTGGAGACGCTAAATTTTCCTTGAAAAGTCAACCCGCAATAATACTTAGCAGCAGTTGTAGGTAAGCCCATTTGTGTAGTTTTATGTAAATATATATATATATATATTTACATAAAACAAATGGTTAATTAAATTAATCGCGGCATGTTATCACATAGGTATAGATACCGTGCGCGATCAACCAGGCCACCGTATACGAATAATCTTGGGCTTCCAAACTTTCTAGACTGATCTACGCTGTATAATGAGTATACCAATGTATATTTATGTGTTTACAGTATAGGTACTTGTAATGGCATGCATAATATAAAGTAACGGCGGCTCAGAAGCTACGAGCTAAGTTTTGCAGGCAATATTATACATATATCGAATATAATATACATGTATTATGTATGTATATATTAGGTATGTATGTAATATGTATGTTTGTATGTATGTATGTATGTATGTATGTATGTATGTATGTATGTATGTATGTATGTATGTAAGTATGTTTGTATGTATGTATGTATGTATGTATGTATGTATGTATGTATGTATGTATGTATGTATGTATGTATGTATGTATGTATGTATGTATGTATGTATGTATGTATGTATGTATGTATGTATGTATGTATGTATGTATGTATGTATGTATGTATGTATGTATGTATGTATGTATGTATGTATGTATGTATGTATGTATGTATGTATGTATGTATGTATGTATGTATGTATGTATGTATGTATGTATGTATGTATGTATGTATGTATGTATGTATGTATGTATGTATGTATGTATGTATGTATGTATGTATGTATGTATGTATGTATGTATGTATGTATGTATGTATGTATGTATGTATGTATGTATGTATGTATGTATGTATGTATGTATGTATGTATGTATGTATGTATGTATGTATGTATGTATGTATGTATGTATGTATGTATGTATGTATGTATGTATGTATGTATGTATGTATGTATGTATGTATGTATGTATGTATGTATGTATGTATGTATGTATGTATGTATGTATGTATGTATGTATGTATGTATGTATGTATGTATGTATGTATGTATGTATGTATGTATGTATGTATGTATGTATGTATGTATGTATGTATGTATGTATGTATGTATGTATGTATGTATGTATGTATGTATGTATGTATGTATGTATGTATGTATGTATGTATGTATGTATGTATGTATGTATGTATGTATGTATGTATGTATGTATGTATGTATGTATGTATGTATGTATGTATGTATGTATGTATGTATGTATGTATGTATGTATGTATGTATGTATGTATGTATGTATGTATGTATGTATGTATGTATGTATGTATGTATGTATGTATGTATGTATGTATGTATGTATGTATGTATGTATGTATGTATGTATGTATGTATGTATGTATGTATGTATGTATGTATGTATGTATGTATGTATGTATGTATGTATGTATGTATGTATGTATGTATGTATGTATGTATGTATGTATGTATGTATGTATGTATGTATGTATGTATGTATGTATGTATGTATGTATGTATGTATGTATGTATGTATGTATGTATGTATGTATGTATGTATGTATGTATGTATGTATGTATGTATGTATGTATGTATGTATGTATGTATGTATGTATGTATGTATGTATGTATGTATGTATGTATGTATGTATGTATGTATGTATGTATGTATGTATGTATGTATGTATGTATGTATGTATGTATGTATGTATGTATGTATGTATGTATGTATGTATGTATGTATGTATGTATGTATGTATGTATGTATGTATGTATGTATGTATGTATGTATGTATGTATGTATGTATGTATGTATGTATGTATGTATGTATGTATGTATGTATGTATGTATGTATGTATGTATGTATGTATGTATGTATGTATGTATGTATGTATGTATGTATGTATGTATGTATGTATGTATGTATGTATGTATGTATGTATGTATGTATGTATGTATGTATGTATGTATGTATGTATGTATGTATGTATGTATGTATGTATGTATGTATGTATGTATGTATGTATGTATGTATGTATGTATGTATGTATGTATGTATGTATGTATGTATGTATGTATGTATGTATGTATGTATGTATGTATGTATGTATGTATGTATGTATGTATGTATGTATGTATGTATGTATGTATGTATGTATGTATGTATGTATGTATGTATGTATGTATGTATGTATGTATGTATGTATGTATGTATGTATGTATGTATGTATGTATGTATGTATGTATGTATGTATGTATGTATGTATGTATGTATGTATGTATGTATGTATGTATGTATGTATGTATGTATGTATGTATGTATGTATGTATGTATGTATGTATGTATGTATGTATGTATGTATGTATGTATGTATGTATGTATGTATGTATGTATGTATGTATGTATGTATGTATGTATGTATGTATGTATGTATGTATGTATGTATGTATGTATGTATGTATGTATGTATG